TCATGATTCCACTTATAATGGGGAAGCAGAAAGCAGCAGTTTTTCCAGAACCAGTTTGAGCACAAGCCATCAAATCCCTCCCCGCAAGTGAAATAGGTATAGCATGTCGTTGCACAGGGGTCGGCTTAACATACTTGCACCTCCTAATATTTTCGTTGACAGCTTCACCTAAATCAATATCTGCGAAAGTGTTCACAGGAGGGGGCACATTATCCCCGCTAGTTTCCACTGGAATATCCTCATATGCATCGAAATTGATCCCAGAACTCTCTTTTTCACTAAAGGGTTCACTATCTTCGTCCGTAAAGGGGTTAACCTCACGCTCCCTCCCACGATCCCAACCACCACGTCCCCCATTCCAACCACCACCACGTCCTCCTCCACCAACATAACCAGATCGGTTTTCAGTCCTTTGACCACTCCAACGACTCCCAACCACATTTGGGACACCATAACCACTGTGGTCATTACCTAATGCAGCAGCACCAGCATACGAAGCCTGTGCAGGAGGTTCTATCGACGGTCTGTTTCTTAGATGTGGTGGAACATATGCTGACTTGGACGCAGCACCAGCCGGATTCTCGGCTGCAGAAACAGATTCAGCCCACGACATTGCCATAGTCAGTCACCCAAAAATCACACAATATTTATCTTTCGTCAAGTTGCCAAACGAAAAACAAAAACGATATCCAAAACAAAAATTCAGCTAATATTACAAAATCCAAGCTATTTATCCTTCCTAGCACCAATATTCAAGTTAAAACCCAGCTACTTTCGTCATCATCAAATCAAATTCTCCAAATCTCACGTCAGCCTGCAAATTCCACAACCCAAAAAATCAGTTAGACACATCCAAAAATCCACTTAAATAAGCACATATTCTGGAAATCCAAACATGATCTATCAAATAAACACCATGTTGCACAGATGCAACAATCAACATCGTATCAAGAATATGCCATCCAACCCAAATGAAAAACAAAGAAAATGCAACAAAAAAAATCTTCCTCCCTAATACCCAAACAGGAAAAAGGAAAACTTAAAAAAAAAAAAATCATAGCTAAATCAGTCTTCCTACATAACCCTTGGCTAAGTTACGGGGTATTTGTGCTGGTGAGAGGTCGTAGGTCTTCGTGGAATAGCCGAGGTGCACTAACTAGCTAAGACACCACCATTATCAAAATCAACAAATTATAGCCAAATGATCAAATCCCCACATAAGATTGAGATAAAAACACAACAAAGAAAAACCATTTCAAGACTGACATAGATGACCGTACATACATGATAAGAGCAACGCCCATTTCAAAAAATCAGTAAAATAAATCCAAAAAAAATAACACCCATTTCAGGATTGAGTTAACTACACAGATATAAATGTAAAAGCACCAATAAATCATAATCAAATATGCAAATTAAGATAACCCACTTAACAAAATTGAGATAAGAACATAAAAAATAAATAACCATTTCACTAATCAGTTAAAACCACAAAATTTTCAACACAAAACCATATCAGGAATTGAGAATAAAACACAATAAACAAAAAAAAATGCCCTAAACACACAGTAAAATGTGTGAAACACACAGAAAAGAGGGACAAGAATTGACTTACAATGAAAGAAGAAAGAGAGAAAAAACCTCTAAGTTTGAGAGGCAAAAAAAAGTAGTGTTTCCGATCGGAAGGCAGAAATGCAAAAATATCTTGGTTGTGGTTTGTTTTTTGGTTTTTACCTTTCTTTTTTTATATTTACTTTTTTTTTCTTCTATCTTCTTTGTTGCGTCTCCGTTGATAAAAACGTAAAGAGTAAGGCCAGTAAGGGAGAAATGAGACTTCTCCGTACGTTATGTATACACAAGTTCGTGATTGCGGCTAGGCTAAATTTTGGCCTACTTTTCTTCTTTTTCTTTCAACTACTATTAGTCCAAATATTTTCATATTTTAGAATAGTTTTTAAATTTTGAGAAATTTTAATAAAGTATTATCTTTTAGTTATAATTAGTTATCTATAGATATCATTTACTATATTAAGGATTGTAGATACGTTTTCTGTTGTTATAAGATGTATTAGATGTATTTAAGCTACTGTATTCATGAATACAGTAACAAAAATAGGCGTGAATCATGGAAGTCCAGCTAATCAGTTGTTGTATCATGGACAGATTATTGTATTCGACTGTATTTACGGCGTAAAACAGGGGATTACACTGTTTTTAAACGGAAAGTGAATCAATTAACATAATAAACTCTTAATATAACTCAACAAACTCAAGTATAACACACAAATTTTGTATTTTCAATTTTAAAAAAGATTTTCAACCGAAAAATATCCCAAAAACATAGCAATCTTCAGAAAAATTATATAATACATCTGAATACATAAATTATATTAATTAAAAAAAATATATGAATACATTCATGGCATATAGCGAGACAATGAATACAATGAAATACATAGAATACAGCGGGATATATTGAAATATAATGAAAAAAGATAGTGAATACAATGAAATACATGGAATACAGCGAGATACATTGAATTACAATGGAAAAAAGACAATGAATACAATGAAATACATGAAAATACAGTGTGATACGTTGAAAATACATTGAAATATATTAACAAAAAATCAAGTTGTTCAGCCACAAACTCTGTCGTCTTTGTTCAAGAACAAACCCTAATTTCCGGCGAATCCGTCATCGAGCAGAAACCCTGAACTCTTTCGCCTTTCTCTCTCTCTTTCACTTCACCAAATATTCCTATAACTCATTAGAACAAATGAAAAGAATGGAAAAACCCTAGCACACAACTAGAAATCAGAGGCACCGCAAGGAACTCTAACATATTCTCTTTCTATTCCTTGCAAACAATTTGTACATTGGAAAATTTTCTTAGGAGCAAAAGAAAAATTGGGTTTTAAGAAAAACCCTTTAAGGGTAAGATTATTTGGTGAAGTGTAAGAAAAAGATGGTATCTTAAAGATTGGAATTTTTTGGTTTTTAATTGGTGAAGTGAATAAAGTGGAGGAAAGTCCAAAACACAATCTTTAAGCTTCCATTTGTGAGGTACAGAAGGCGGGGGAAGCAGAGGTGAACGGCAGAAGTGGCGGCGGAAGAAGGAGGAAGGTGGGAAGAGGTGGTGCGGCCGAGAGAAGTGAATTAGATTGAGCATCGCGTTTTCAGGGAATGAGGGAAGAGAATGACATGTATCAAAGTAGAGAGAGAAAGAAAATAATATAACTGAATAGCGTATTTAGTGGCTTAGGTGTAGGAGGTAACCAAAATTAGATATTTTGCTATAAACATTAAAAGGTATCTATAGAATATAATTTTTTTAAATGGTACTTATTTAAAATAAATAAGGTGTTAACCTTTGCTATAGGAGGTAAAAATTCCTTTAATTTTTTAGGACGATTATTAACGCAAAATATAACTACTCTTTTTTTCGGGTATCCGTTTTGGGCTCCAAGCTCTCGTTGTCACATATGATTCTATTTTTATGACTCGAACCTGAAACCTTTAATTAAAGATAAAAGAATATCATGACCTTTGGTGGTAAATATAGCTACTTACTTAACGACATATAACACGTTAGTTGCTAATTCAAAATATATAGATATTTTTTTCTACAAAAGTACTAGAAATAACACATACAGTATATATACCGATGGGAGGTAAAAGATACCTCATAAAGTTAATCGAGATGAACAATTGACCAAACACCACGATTATCAAAACAGAAATCGAAGAGAATTGTGTGAGTGACTATGCCAAGATTGAGAAAAGATAATGAAATTTAGGGAAAAGAAAGTGTTAAGTAGGAGAATATAGTGTCAATTTCTAAAGGCGAAATACATAAAACACTCTTTTAAGTTGTCCTCAACGATTATTTGATCACCTCAATCGAGGCCTTTTTCATTTAAATATTTCACGTGACTAAAAATGAACTCAATAAATACCCGACCTAGTCAACCCCCGTCGCGTATAATACACCTTCGGATTCGTGCGTGCCTAAGTGATCCAAACGGTAATAAACGAATTTTTTTGTGAAATTCCAAAAAAAAAACTTAATGAACTCCCTAATTTAAATTCTCAAACCCTACCCTACAAATTTATTTCACTCCTCTCGAGCCGCGTCTATCTTATTCCTCCCTTTGAAGAAAATTTCTTTTCTTCTCCCTCTCTACTTCTTCTATTTCAATGGAGCTTGTTATTAATTGCAAATGTGGCCAAATTGCTCTTTTAAAACTTTCATGATCACCATTTAATTCGAGTAGAAGATTCTATGGTTGTAGATTTGGAAAAGTTATCGATGGTGAATGCGATTTTTTCTATTGGTATGATGTTGAATTGTCCGAACATTATACCAAAGTCATTTATGGATTATTAAAGAAGGTAAAAAATTATGAAGAAGAAAAGTCAAAGATAATGTAGAAACATAAGATATTGGTGTGGTTGCTTGTAATTGTAATTGTGGCTTGATTTTTTAAGGAATCTTTTATTTTTTTTAGGTGTATGGTATATGTATATGAGCATGTAACCTCATTTGTTTTACGGCAATGTTGTTTTTGATTTATGGCCAATGTTGCCTATTCAATATAGTTGTAATTTATAATGTGTATGATGAAGTTTTCAATGATCAAATGTGTTTCAATTTGTGCAAAAAATTATACTGATGAAGCAAAGGTGGACTAATCCAAAAAACTGGCTAACAAAAGCAGGTTTATATTACATCCCATAAGAAAATAAGGTTCATAGATATGACCAAACATAAGTAGGTTCAAATTACTTCACAAAATATTGTTCATACATATGACCAATAAAATAAACAAATTTCTTTCTAAATTTGACTTTGACAAGAGTCAATTGGTGTAGATGAAGTAGAGGTTCTAGCTTTCATCTTTTTGTTGGAAACTGCAACATCTCTGTGCCTTTGAAGCTGATTCCCTGTGAAAGCTCTATTCCCTTTCCACTTAAGACCATCTGGTCTAAATCCAAGATCTACATTAGTTTGTGCAGTATTCATCAAGTTTGCACCGGTTGAAATAAGTCTTCCACTTGACCTACGAGGCTAGAAAATACAGTAAGTTAGTAATGAATAAGCAGAAGCCTAAGGATAGAAAATACAGTTAGTTAATAATGAATAATACTCCTCACACTTACAATAACGATACTAGTTTCTATTTGTGTGTCTATGTACAAACCAAAACTAGAATTTCTGGTCCTTTTCTTTCCAACAGAAGCAGCAAGTGATCTAGCAGTAGCAGAAATAGATGCACCAAATGCAACAGAAGTAGCAAGTGATCTTCCACCTCTTCCCCCACCAGCTCCTCCACTTCTACCCCTATTACCACTTCCTACAATTCCTTTACATATTCCTGATGGTGTGTTTCTTTTTATATTTGATGTTTCAGCACACAAGGAAGATGATGCCATTGAAGTTTGGGCTGTGGTAGTTGATGTACCTGCAACTTGAGTTGTATAACCTTGACTACCAGCTTGTGTGCTTGATTGTGTTGTTCTATTTGACCTTCCAGATTGTGTGTTTGTTTGTACATAGTATAAAGTGACAAGCCATTAGTCAAGTAATATGAAAACTATGAAATCAAATTGAAATGGAATCCATCAAACTTATCATTAAACTGTATACTGACTTGTTGTGACCAACTTGATGGCAAATAGAACATGACATCCTAGCACCTTTCTTTGATAGTTTTCCCACTTCTTTGGTTCATCCTTGTCCATTCTTCTACATTTTTTTGGCCTACCAGTCATTGGTTTAACTTCATGAGGCTCAATTGATGGATTGGTAGACTCAGGCTATGTTTGCATGCTTTGAATTGGCTGAATATAGTACTTGTAAGCAGGCAGGAAAGTGTCTTTCCTATACCAATGTTCAACATAGTCTTCTAGCTCATTCCCAATCTTATAAAATGCACATATTGCATGTTGACATGGTTTACCTATGTCTTCAGACCCCTTATCAATTCCAGTCTCACCAAGAATTACCTCTTCTATAAAAACAGGTCTTAACTCATCATCACTATCATTTTCTTCTTGAGTATCTTCAAGGTCATTTTCACCAAAATTTTCATCTTCAAACAGATTTGTATCTATTTCATTACTGTTGGCATGCTCTACAGCTACACCCTCTTCAGCATTTATATCCTCATATGAAAATGTAGCCTTATTTGTTCTGCATTTACACCACTATCTTCAACAGTATTTACTTCTATATCCTCAATACCCTCATCAGCATTTACTCCAATACCATCATCAACAGTTACATTAATGCCCTCGTCAATATTTACAACAATGCCCTTATCAACATTTGCATTAATGCCCTCATCAACATTTACACCAATGCCCTCACCAACATGTACATTAACCCCTAGACCACCCTTAATTTCTGGATTAATTGTAGCTTGGTCACTATCACCAACATGTGAGCAAGGTAAATATCCCACGGGGACATCCTCCACAACCTCTAAATTATCTATCACGTGACTCACATAGACATCAAAAGTATTCCCATCCTTCAGGTCGTTAATCAAATTTAGTAGTTGATAGTTATTTTCAATTGGAAAGAATTTCTGAGCTTTAGGGCATTGAACAAAGAACCCACCAACTAAGTTGAATCGCATTTCAAGAGTTTCTTTTGTGTAAGACAGAAGCTCGGTCAAAGAAAAATGATCTTTGTCCACCACATGCCCTATATTTTAACCCTCCCCCACATACTTTCCATTAATAAACTGAACCCCATGGTGAAAGACAACACCAATATATTTGTCCATGTGACTCAGTACTGAAAAAGATAAAAGAA